AATGAATGAAGTATGAAAATCGAATTGTTCATACAATTTTTTTATTGCATGAACAAATTGATTTTTTTCATAATGCGAAGGGCAAAGTAGCAGTGAAATAATAATTATCGAGAAAATGGTTCTTTGATGATGATATTTTCAGTCAAAATAATGAACAAATGTAAATACTTTTCAGGAGACGATTTTTTTCCCGAAAATTATTATTAGCATTAAATTAGAGTCCAAAAAAACACTTCAATCATCCCATGAACAATATTCATAATGAATGAAAAAAAAAATAGATTAAAAAACCGTATGTTCATACTTTGTGTAGAAATGATTATCAAGCATTATCAGTAAAAAGGCAAAATAATTGGAATATTCAAAAAAATTGTCAAGTCTTCATTTACGTTTCTCATTTTTTACCATCTTTGAATGTTCTTAAAAAAACAGAAAATTATTTTTTTGCACAAAGAATGTTTTCTTCAGCATTCAAAGAATGATTTCAAGAATAGATATGAATTTCAGGCCTCCATTTAAAAATGATTAATGTTTTTTCTATAAACTTTCAACATGGAAAAAATTAATTCACAAAAGCTCAATTGAAACGAAAATTGCGATAATTTTTTTGGACAACAGTCCAATAATCCCCACCCGAAGAGAAAAAGTTATTTCCGTGTAATTCATTATCCATATATTTGTAAGTAGCTGTATCTGATATATTTTTCATTTCAATTTGTATCTGAAAAAAATTTCTATGCATGATAGTGAATAGTTTTCATTGAACTATTGAATTTTTTTTTCAGTTGATACTTTTTATATAACTATTAATACGTGAATAAGGGGATCCAAAAGAGACCGGCCATGACGTCATCACGTGTGCATGTGTGTGTGAAATAAATTTTAATTCAAATAACAAAACGAATTCCATGCCACATCCACTCTTTCATATTCATATTACGAATGATAAAACTTTCCTTTTGTATTTTCTCAATATTGTTAATCAGCTGATAATGGATTTACTTGACGTTACTTTCTGGACACATTGTATATTTGAAATTTTCTTAAAGTACTGTAATTGTAATAATCGTTAACGAATAATTGCATAAAAGTCTATTCTTCTTTTTTCAGATCGAAATTAACCGAAGTGTTCAACGTGGTGCAAGAAGTAAATCTGCTGGACTCTCGAGACGAGGAGAACCTCCGGCTACTGAAAAGGCCCGAGCTGGGAGTAACCTTCACGAAATTGCATTGTTGGCGTCTCACGCAGTTCGACAAATGTGTATTTTTGGATGCAGACACGCTGGTATTTCTTTTTTTTTAAACATCCTAATCGAGCCCATAGTCGCCAGACATTTTGGGAGTATGTGATTTTGCAATGTTTATTCATCAATTTTTTCTAGCATCGTTAAGTGAAACCAGTGAACAGGGACTTTCCTAGATAATATCACAGAGTATATTCAGTAAGGTTACGAAACTGTTGAGATTTTGAATGATTGTGTCAATTGTGTGAATTAAGTATACTCTATAGAAAACACTTTTCCCTCAACAATTCTGAGACTATTTCTTACAAGCTATGGTAATGTTTTTATTTGCATATACACGAATCATTACGTTGCATAATGAGCGTCAAATGATTGATTCCTAGTATTTTATTATTGTCCTATTGGTATTTACTACCTGATACCTATTCCTTACCTTTTTTTCCTTTTATTATGTACTCGTATGAACAATGAGTTATTAGGAATGGGACCTTCATATCACCCTTTATAGAACTCATTCCACATGTTCCTGTGAGATCTTTCTATATCTTTTCGGTAGGGTGTGGACCCCTGTGAGTTTCAAAAGAAACGACTCAATCACAGAGATGTAGGTACAAAGTGGTCATGTACCTACATTTTTTGATGCTATTCCGAAACAGAGCACCTTTTCGGAGAAAATTGAGTGGAACTGACCGATACTTCATGTAAATTCATATCAAACTTTGAAGAAGCTATCGGCCGATTTCATCACATAGCTATTGTATTTGTGGTTTCGTGAACCTTCCATACTGAAAATCTCACACAGTAAATTATATTGATTAATTTTGGTGATAGAAATACTTTATTCGATCGTATAATCTTCCTGTATTAATAATTTAGCATTTTCTTTCTATGGATAATAGGCAACTAATTCAAACCATTTGTTTCTTCTGAAAATTGTATTCTAATTTTTTAGGTGCTAGAGAATTGCGATGAACTATTCGACAGAGAAGAATTGTCAGCCGCTCCAGATGTAGGTTGGCCAGATTGTTTCAACTCTGGCGTGTTTGTTTTCCGTCCTTCAAATGAAACCTACAAAAAAATCATTAGATTTGCCATGGAAAAGGGCAGCTTTGATGGTAAGTTCGAAAATGTTTTTTTTGAAAAATTTAGGTCGATTCATTTCGAAATTTCTGTGGCTGGTTTGATGCCAGGGGAGAGGGGAGTTAAACAACAATCTGAGGTTTTGAACCTTTCTCTATGAAAAACACGGGTAGTGCTTTAGTGGTTCATTTCATATGTTTTCAAGATTAAAGTTCAAACTGCGGATTTGACATGCTTCAACATTTAATAGCTTCCGATCAAAAAGAACCTTCGGATCAACCTCTAACGACTGGTCATTAACGTAAACGATGCATGGATGTATTTGTCACTAAAATCCGAACCAAATTTTTCAGTGATCTCAAGCAGCTTATAATGATCCTACTTGGCCGAGGGTCGAGGGTGAAAAGTCAAACGAAGAAGGGTACCACCGCCTTCGGAACCAGGGGTTCGAATAAGTCCGCGGCTGGCCTTGCCTTCTGTAAGAGGCAATCAAAAAGGGTAGTTAACCTAATGGTGTTATGAGACATGTGTCGAAGGATGAATGGTATCTGGGTCTTATCAGATATTCCCAACGGATCCTCTGACTTGTCAGGCGAGTATTTAGCCTTATATCCATGCAGGAGACCTCATGGATGTGGGCAACCTTCTTTCCCATATCCATGGGAAGGAGCCAACAGTCACGAACCAGAGAAAAACTGCTCTTTGAGAGACTCTTCTGAGTCGCAATGAGGGTAGAACAAGCCAACTTACAATACAATATCGACCACCAAGCGATACACAATAGAGAGCACTATTCTCTCCACTTGCAAACACCATTGACTTCCTGCAAGTCAATCGTCCCAGTGCCGAAATTTCCATATTCGGTGAGTTCAATGTCCACAATATCGAATGGCTAGAATTTTCAAATATTAACGACGAACAAGGTCGCCCAGCTGGGGCTTTTGCAATGAGCAGTGGACTTACTCAAGATTATAAATGAGCCAACCAAGATTCCTGACCGTGATAGAGAATATGTCAGTCTTCTGGATCTATATCTAACAATCAATCCAAAAATTTACACAGTCACCGTAAGGTCTATATTAGGATCTTCTGACCAAAAATTCATTTCAGTGTGCTGTGAATTACCTATAAATGTTGGGGAACAATCTAAGCCGCGCAAAGTTTGGCATTACACAGATCCGCTGAGTGCGAGAATCTTCAAGACCATTTCCGAAATTTCTCCTGGCTGGATGTTTATTTCAGCTCTAACAATTCATCAACTTGTGCATCTGAAGTCAAGGAAGTTATTCTGCCATCCATGGATGCATATATTCCTTTCTCAATGAAACGGACTTCTAACGGCAAAAATTGGTTCAACAAACATTGCGAGCAAACTGTTGCCTTCAAAAATCTCGCCTACCAGCAGTGGCGCAAAAATCCCCGTTCCAAAACCCAAACTAGGTTTGTTAATGCTCGCAACAGCTGCAAACTTAGAATAAATAAAATCAGAGATTTAGAGATAAACTGCTTGCCAATCCCAATTGGTCCAGATCCTTCTGGTCGGTAGCTAAAGCTATCAATCAAAACTTTACAAAATCCACAATTCTCCACTAACACAAGCGGATGGTTGAATTGCATCAACAGCCATAGAAAAAGTAAATCTACTAGTTGAACACACAGTCGAGTTTCTGGGGAAGACATCGACCACTATTCCCATACTGGAATCCACAATGCCGGAAATTACTTTTCTACAACGTCTAGTCAGGGGAATTTTGAAACAACTCATATCAACAAGGTGTCTGGTCCTGATGAAGTGCCCGTAATCGTACTGAAAAAGTGCGCAAATAAACTCTCACCAGTAATTTACAGACTTTTCAAAATGTCTTACAAGGAAGGGTTTTTTCCTTCTTGTTGGAAGATTGCTCGCGTCCAGCCTATTCCCAAAGAGGGCAGGAAGAATCTTCCAAATAACTGTAGACCAGTCACTTTGCTCTCAGTGATATCAAAAATCATGGAGAAAGCCGTAAATCACTATATACTTTAATAATTGGAAGGTTTTAATATCTTGAGCGATCATCAATATGCCTTTCAGAAACGGCGACCTTCTATCGTACATCACCCATATTTGGAATAACGCAATCGAGAAACATGGAGAGTCAAGAGTTGTTGCGCTTGATATTTCTGAGGCCTTTGACCGTGTGTGGCAAGAGAGTTTGCTGGTAAAACTTCAATGCTATGGCTTGTCGGTTCATTTTTGTGTATGGCTCTTCAGCTTCCTGGAAAAATGTTCCCTGCAAATGGCCATTGATGGATATCTCTCGAATACTTTCACCATCTACGCTGGTGTTTCCCTGGGATCCCCAAGAATCCAATATGTTGCTTTGCTCACGACAGCACACTTGTTTCGTCATTTCATTTGGATTCCAGGACATGGCTGCGGATGCACATCTTTACCGGCAGCAGAAGGTTGCATATCCCAATGAGGATCTTGAAGTGATGTTAAATTAGAGTGAAAGTAACCAGGTTCAATTCAGTGCCACAAAAAACCCAAGCATCAGTTTTCTCCAAAAAAATTAATGTCTTCGAACCGGATATAATAATGTCAGGACAGACAATTCCTCTTTCTGCTTCGATAAGTTTGTTGGGGGTTGAAATGGTCACCAATATGTCTTGGCACAATCATGTCATTGGAGATGTAAAGGCTGCTTGTCTAAAGCTTGGAACACTTATAACTTACCTTGGTATTTATGTTATCACCAAAAAGTAGTTCGGCCCAGGCTAGTCGATTATTGTCGGGGCCTAACGTGAATATGGAAAATATGTTTTTTTACAGTCGAAATAGATTAAAAAAAGTAAGCCCTGGGGCGCCAGTTGAACGGATTCACCAGGTAGGGGTGGAGAATAGCCAAAATGTCAACAAGGAAACTCCAAGCTTGAAATTTATATTAAATTGATATATAAAAAGAAATATTCACCAAGTTCACTACCAACTGTGTAATAACTCAAAAATTGATTTTCATATGTTATTTGTAACGAACTGATGAAGAAAAAAAAATCAGGCAAATATATATACATCAAGTTTAAAGAACCAGTACTTAATATTAAAACACACGTTTCCAGTAAAGATATTATTACGCCGCCATAGGCTGTTTTGATCATAATATTACTACTGGGGAATTCTTATCACAGAACAATATTGAATCAAAGTATTCGAGTAGGTAAGTATTAAACTGACACAGATAGATCATCACATAAATTGAAAGTGAGGGAACAAATGAGTAGTGAAAAGTAACTGTCTGAATCTTAATCTATCCAGAACCTACTTTTTGATTAACTACAATCAAACTCGATAATTATTACCCCCGTCAACAGCTGTCTCAGGTGCACAGAGAAAAGGTAAATAATTAAGAGGCCGTGGGAGCACGTGACTAAATTATGATCTGTCATCGATGTTTATCTCTCTTCTTGCTTTACTCTCTCTAGCCAAATTATTCAAAGACGCACGTCCCTGCTGGCGGGTGGCGGAAGTAAGCACTCGAAATAACTGCGACGAGAATATAGTACAGCATTTCTTAATGAATGCCCACATTCGCCTGTTCATCACTTGGCAACGCTGCGCTGGTGAAAGCATTCGTTTCGCAGTGTCGGGGCCAGAGATTGCAGTGGCAGTGTGCGTTAAAAATTGAAAATACGAATATGATGTGCAAATTTCCAATATTATTTTAGGTTTCTCTTGTTTGCAGTTGAGTTCGTGATTCCAAAGAATGTAGCTTTGTGAAATAAGATTAAATTTCTATTTTTCATCAGAAAAGGTTTGTGAAATTAGTATATTCGATGCATTTTATGCTTGCCATACTTCTAGAATAGCTGTTTATGTAAAGAGTTATGAAAAGTTCAATTTTGTGTAACGAGCGCGAGTAGCGCAAGTTACAAAATATGAAATTCTACGGTGTTACATACAAGATTTTTTTAATTTCATTTAAACATTGTTTTCATTATTTTTCTATGATAAAGTATCGAATCTACAAATATTTTCACTAATCAAGGGTGCTATTCATCACATAGATTGTCACTTTGGCGTTTTCTATACATTCATTTTGCTCCATTTACTTTGTGTGATTTCATAGAGGCGGAAGAGATAGAGTAATGACTGATCAGGGTTCTGAATGAAAATTTGTTCTTGTGTTGTGTGTGTGATTTCCGAGTTGAAAAGTATGATAAAATCACTGAACCGAGACAAGATTTAGCGAATGATATAAAATATAGTCATGAAAGGCACATTCGGTTATCATTTACAAAAAAATTATATTAACCGAAATAATAGTGAAATAAAATACAAGTAAAAATCGAACAATTGAATGAATGAATATAAAGAAATGAAAAAAGGAAATAAAAATAAAAAGTGGAGAGATTCCAAATCACGTTAGTTTACGACGTTCCGATTGTTAGTATCTACAATCGTCTTCGGGTGATGACTGGACTGATTCCTCCGAGAGATGACTATTTATAGGTCGTTCGAGTACTTTCACTTATCCCCGCTTTCCATTTTTCGCTTCACTGGTTCCGTGGGAGATGACCGTTTTGGCGGGAGTTGGCCATTTTTCGCTAGATGATGGGTTTCCATATGTTGCGTATTTCTACGCTTGTCTTTTAGTCAAAGTCTTTTCTACTATCGCTTCGGAATAGCCATTCCGTTGAAGGTCATTTTTGATGATGTCTAGTTTCTTTTCGAGACCTTCCTTCGTATTACAGAGCCCAGAAGCAAGGTCTAATAGAGTCTTGATGATTCCTCTTTTAGTCGATTGATGGTGGTTGGATTCGTGGTTCAGATACTGTCCCGTATGAGTGGGTTTTCGGTATACAGATGTTATCCTCTTAGTGTCGGTCCTCTTCACCAAAACGTCTAAGAATGGCAATTCATTGTGGATTTCCTTCTCCATTGTGAAAGTGATGGAAAGTCTCACGCTGTTGATGTGTTTCAGGAAGGCGTCTAGTTCAGTATTCCCATGGTTCCATATTATGAAGGTGTCGTCAACATATCTCAACCAGACTCGAGGTTTCTCGTGGGCTTCTTCAATGGACAGAGTTTCAAACCACTCCATATATATGTTGGCTATAACTGGTGAAAGTGGCGATCCCATTGACAGTCCCTCATCTTGTGTAAAGAATTCGTCCTTCAGTTGGAAGTAACAGTTTCGTACACAGCATCCTAGTAATTCCATAATTACTTCTATAGGTAGATTCGTTCTCTCTTTCAGGTTTTCGTCTTCGGATAGCTTTCTCTGTATGATTTGGAGTGCTTCTTCGACCGGAACGTTGGTGTAAAGGCTTTCCACGTCGAAACTAATTAGTTGATCTTCTTGTGTGACCTCAATTGACCCTAGTAGTTCGACAAAATGCCTTGAATTCTTCACAAAAGACGATGTGTTGCCTTGTAATGGTTGTATTGAGGGAAGTAAAAATCTAGACAAGTTTTGAGTAGCCGAATCTCTGGAGCTGATGATCGGTCTAAGCGGAACGTCCTTCTTGTGGATTTTTGGTAGTCCATACAAGTGAGGAAGCTAACTGTGGTGCGGTGTTAGCGATGATCTTTCCTTGTCCGAGAAATAGACTTGGTGTTTTTTCAAAATCTGGTACAACTTCCTTTCGATTGATGCAGTAGGGTCCCGTACGATCTTTGTGTATCGTCCCTTCTGAAGAACCTCTTCGTTCTTTTGTTCGTAGAGAACAGTATCCATTACCACAGTAGC